TTATTATTATTATTATTATTATTATCATTATTATTATTATTATTATTATTATTAGATAAAATAAAGGGAATTAGGGAGTTATTAGAGAAGTTGGGGGGAGAAAGAGGGTTATCACGACAAACTGCTCAGAAAATCAAATTTGAGGAAAAAGGTTGAAGAGAAGGAGGAACGTGGCTGTTGAGAGAAATGGAGAGCAGAGAATCATCCATCAGAGAATTGGAAGATAGTTGCAGAAAAGCCGCCGGAGAGCAGAACCAGAACCGGAAGCTTGGAATTGGCCTCTATTCTAAGGTAAGGGTGGGGTTCAATTCTATAACTGTGGGTATGATCGAATTCATGTGGGGAATCGAGTCATAGGTATAGTTTTCGTTAATCGATAAATATTAAGGAAAAGGTTTCCCTAATGGGACAAGATTTTATGTAAGAATGAATATGTTATATACGATGCTCTAAGGTTTCCCTAATGGGGCAAATACGTAGTAAATGTTCCCGTAACTTGAAGAAATATTAAGATTAATATTCCCATAGTGATGTTCCCGTAGTAACGTTACCGTAGTAATGTTCCCGTAAGTTGAAGAAAAAAATATTAAAGATTAATGTTCCCGTGGTAATGTTCCCGTAGTAATGTTCCTGTAGTGATGTCCCCGTAGTAACGTTACCGTAGTAATGTTCCCGTAGGTTGAGAAATATTAAAGGAATATTAAGGGTAAATGTTCCAGTAGGTTGAGAGATATTAAGGGTTAATGGTTGTCTATGCCTGCATTAATGTTTATGTCGTTAGTTTGTGTAGTAATGTTGGGAATCGACGCCGACACGCGCTAATTTCCCATTTGTTGAGGAAATGTTATTATAATTTTCTCCTTGGATTACGTGGATAAGTTGTAGTTATATTACCCGTATGAAGGTATATGAAAATGTGTTGAGTTTTTATTTGTAGTAATGACGTTGTCAGTTGTTCTCTGACATGAAAATGCTGTTGAGTTCTCGATTGTAGAGACGAGGTTGTTTCTAATTGTTCTCTGTGAAAATGTGTTAAAGTCTTATTCGTAGGAACGATACTGTTGGTAGTTCTCTGATATGAACAGATTGAAATGGTGAGTCCATAATATATGCAAAATGTGATGTTTCTGTTATGGATAATTGGTTGTAGGCGTGATGCCTTGTTGCACGGTTGTTGCACAGTTGTTGTTGTTGTTGTGTTATAGTCCATAATAGTTGCATCTCATAGCATAGCATTTGGCCTGGATTGGCGACGGTTGTGCATGTATTGGCGTTATTTGGAGTGTTGGCTCCTAGATGGGTTCGGCGTGTTGGCCCTGTCCCGAGTTTTGGAGTGTTGGCTCCTAGATGGGTTCGGGGTGTTGGCCCTGTCCCGAGTTTTGGAGTGTTGGCTCCTAGATGGGTTCGGGGTGTTGGCCCTGTCCCGAGTTTTGGAGTGTTGGCTCCTAAATGGTACCGCATGCATATGCACAGTTGAGTCGCATTGATGAGTCGCATTGTTGAGTTGCGTTGTTGAGTTGTTTTGATGAGTTGCTGAGATATGATGATAATTGTTGTGGTTATGAATAATGAATTGTTGCAGTTTAATTATTACTAATATTTATGCGGACTACTGGAATTATAATACTGTGATAATATTCTGACATGACTTTTATCATGCCTTATGTTATATTGTTGATATCTCACCCTTTATGTTGTATGTTACCTCCGTTGGTGGTAATTTGCAGGTAACTCGGAAGAAAGTGTCGCTTTATGTTTAAGGTCGTTGGTCGCTCTGATACGTAGCACTCTGGGGGGAATGAACGATTAATGTTATTGTTTTAATTGAATTCCTTGTTGCTGAATTTTATTAAGTACTATGACAAATAGATTGGTTGTTTCTGATAATGCCAAATGTTGCTTGGATGCATAGTTGTTTTAGCGAATTGATGCAAGATAATTACTTGCTGAATTTTAATGGAATTTAATTAGTACGAATCGTTGGAAGTGTATTATAACATGGCGTTTATGATTAAAATGTTAAACAAGTTACCGTTGTTTGTTCATCCGAATTTTGTGCTACGTGTGTTAGTAAATGAGCTTTTGCAGGTGTATATGTTTTGGTTAAGTGTAGAATGTGACACCTCTGCCGCGTCTGAGAATTTGGGAGCGTGACGGTCGTCATAGCTCCATGACGCTCGTCATGACCGTGACGGTCGTGACATCCATGACGGTCGTCATGAGATTTTATTTACTGCACTCTGAATTGTTTCTGTTGTTTATCTTATTTCCGCGATAGTTTAGAGTGGGGTGTTACATATTCTAGAACTCTTGATGGGCATTTTCTTTTTGTTGACAGTGGGAAACATATGGTTTGAAAGGATATCTTTCGTGTTTGGCAACGGTAGTAGATTGGAAAGTGTTCACCATGATAGGGGACTGTTTTCTGATTGGTCAGTCTCTCATATTGAATGCTTCAAGAGGATGTGTAGTTCCTTTGATGGATGCTCTATGCATTTCCATTAGTTTTTATTTTTTAGAATAGGATTTAAGCACTCCACCAATGACTTTGAAATGGAACTGTTAAACCGCTTAAGAGTTTCCCCTTCTTAACTACACTGGTGAGATTAGCCTATTTAAAGGTGTCCCAATATTGGTGTGAGGATCAGAGTGAAGTTTCAACCTTAAATTTAATTTTCAACTTATTCTAACATCAAGAAAGTCAACACACGAATTATAACACGAGGTCGCAAATTCTAACGCGAGGTCGTGACTTCTCACAAGACGTTGCAATTTGTAATGCGAGGACACAAGTTCTAACATAAAGGCACAAGTTCTAACGCAAGGTTGAAAGTTCTAACATGAGGTCATAGAACTTAACTCGTGAGAGTAACTTAACGCTATAAATCGTACGAAACGCAAGAAATTAAAGTGCATACAACCATCATAACTAGCACGCGTTTACCGAAATTGAATCGAAAAGTATAAAATTTCACGCGCATATTGAGTTAACATAACGAAACAAAAGTTAACTTAACATAACGAAATGTAACATGGTGACACAAAAGTTAATGTACGTGATGATGTAATGTAGTGCAATGTATCATGCTGAACATAATGCCGAACGCGACCCAACAACATGCATACACATCACAGATTACATCATTACATCAAAATAAAAACCCAGAAGAGTCACAATATACAAATCATGTTGAATGTGTAGAACACTCAAATATGATTTCAATGCAACAAATAAGAAACAACCAACAACACGCATACAAAATATTTACATGATTACATAGTCATTACATGATCATAACTAACAAAAGTCCAACATAGAGTCCAACATTGAATCATGTTAAATGTGCATAATGTTCAGATTTGATTTCAACTCATCAAATAAACAACAAACAGAAGCACATATACAAAATACTTACATGATTACAGAGTCATTAAATGATAAAAACTGACAAAAGTCCAGCGTAGAGTCCAACATCGAATTCGACACAAAAAATACATGTAATCGAAATACCAAACTGACAACACTAGAACACAGAATCAACGAAACAACAAATCTTGACCAAAACACTCTACAAACGACAAACAACACAATCTGTTAAAAGAAGCTAAATCAGACAAAGCAGAGGTTAATGGTGGTAAACAGTGGTCAACATTGTAATATTGGCGAAGAGAAATCATGGTGAGTAGGGGTGTACATGGGTTGGGTAAACCCACCGAACCCGGTTAAATCCACCCAAACTGATCCAAAAAAAATGGATTTGAACGGGTAAGTGGGTCAATATGGTTTTCATAAATAAAAAAACCGTTCAAAATAATTGGGTTTTAGGTAAACCCAAAACCAAAAGATAAAACCCACTCAATCTACTTAATCCACAAATTTTACCATTAAGTACTATATATTTTTATTTTAGGTCTCTTAACGAATTTATATATGAATTATCATTTATATTGTAATTGATGAATGATGACTTTGATGTATTCATATTTGGTTGCTCTAATTTTAGTATCTTATTTTGTGATTCATGATTTTGAACTATTTAGGATATTGCACTTTGATAGTTTTGTTGCTAATACTAGTAAGTTTTAAGTAATTTATGTAATTCTAATTATATATATTATAACAATACAACTTTGATTTTTGCAAATATTTTTATTATTAATTTATAAAATGTCTAGACATTTGATGTTAAAATAAAATGGTTAAATTATCTTCAAGAAAAAATAGTTGGGGTATTTTTAAAAAAAGAAGATGACACGTCATTTATGATTATACAAGAAAAAAAAGAAAAATAATTGGGCGACCTACTACTCAACCCAAAAATTTATAGATTTATCCAAACTGACTCAATAATATTGTGGATGGCTATTTTACCTCACATAAATCAGTATACTCTATGTGATTTGAGTTTTATTTTTGGCCAAACATAACCCAAATCGACCCGTGTACGTCCTTAGTTGTGAATGGTGGTGAGTGTGGAAGGATGTTGTTTGACAGTGGTGAGATGGTGAAATTGAAGGTGGAGATAGAGTGGAAAGGTAGTTAAGTGATGGTGTTCGTTCATAGTGAAATTTTGAAGTGGATATTTATGGTGTGGTGGAGGTTAGGAAATTGGACGGAGTGAACTTCTTGTTGTTTCCAGCGACACGTCGTGGATGAAGAACGGTTGGAAGGTGATACGTTGGTTTGTCAGCGTGAGGTGGAGTTGTTTAGTGTTGGTGGTGGCGAAAAGAAAGAAAGGGTGATTGGCCGAAGTTTATGGAGTACGACGAGAGAGAATGAGTTGAACGGTGGAGGGAGAAAGTGAGAAGGAGGTGTGGTTACTATGTTGAATGACTGATGTTGATTAAAAGTGATAATGAGAGGTGAGGGAGCAGATCGAGAGAGAGAAATGAGAGGTTTGATGGTTCTATTTTTTTTTTATAAGCAAAATCTATTAATAGGAGATTAAGGAAATCTCAAACCAAGAGACAAATTACAAAAAGTTAAAAGGAAATTTGAACTAACCATACAAACAACACTTCTTGCTCCCCTTCTTACATAGGATCAACAAATTCCAAGAATAAAGTTTAATGTCGAAAACAATATTGTCGACCTCAGTAACTACATTATTGAAAATACATTCATTTCTAGACCTCCAAATACTCCAACAAGTAATAAACCAAATCGAATATACTCTATTCGCTTGACACCGACCACTAAGGCTCGAGTTCCACACCTTCGCGTGAGAATAACAGCAATTTTCAGAAATTATGTCTATATCCGCTCATTCGCAAATCTTGTTCCAAACCTGAGTTGATTTAATGCACGAGAAGAAGAGGTGGGATACGTCCTCGAGGCTACTAGAACAAAAAACGTAATCCAAGTCTTGCTCGGAATCAAACACCCTTCTTTTCAATAAATTAGATCTCGTAGGCAATCTATCAAGCGCCAATCTCCAACTGAGAGTTTGCACTTTCGCCGGAAGAACCGTCTTCCAGAGAGACTCAAGATGGGATGCACAACCTGAACCAATATCTTATTCAGATAAGGGGGAATACAAAACTGAATGAAAAGAACTAACCTTGAAAGACAAAGAATCATGAAGAAGCCACCGCCATTTGTCGGACTCGTCGGGGATAACTGAGACATTTTCCAACAATTTACAACAATCAGACCAGTCTGGTTCAAGAGAGATGTCTGAATCGATCAACGAATCTCTCAGTTTCCAATTCCACTGCCCTTCCTCCCAGTATCCCATATCACGGACGAACACTGTCTTCATAGAGCAACACTGAAACAAGCCGTTAAATATGACTTTAAACGGAAGGTCACTAATCCAAACTGACTGCCAGAACGCTACATCGTTACCTTCACCTTGAAGGGCGATAATGACGGTGGTATTGGTTGGGATAGTGATACGCATGCAGAGGGAGTGATCTTACAGTGAGAAGAAATGAGTGGTGCTCTATGAAGAAGAAGAAAAGTGCTTCTTCTGTTTTTGCTCTTTTTCCCTTCCATTTTAACTTTTTTCTTCTTCTTATTTTGGCATATTAAAAGTGGGATGATGAGTATGATATGCGGCTGGTGATTTGAATAGGCATCCTCTTTAAGAATATATACTAGTAATATTAGGGTTTATAATTTTGTTAATCCCAACAATATCCTTGGATACTATTGTATGATAAAATGAGTTTTAAATTGATGAAATAAAATCAACAAAAAATTAATAAATCAACTCAATTATTTATTTTCATCTCTATTTATGCTCCTTAATTATTTTAATTAAAAATGAAATAAAAATGAATTAAATCGAGAAAATGTGAACGCGCAATGATGGGAAAAAAATAAATGAATGCACTAAAATAATCTACACGCAATAAAGCTCAATAAAACAAACAATCGTGGATCAAATATTGAAGTGAAAAAAATACTCTGATGAAAATACTCAAACTGATCAAAATACGAACGCGTACAAATGAGAAAAAATAAAATGAACACACCAGATTAAACTAAGCATAATGTAGTTCAATAAACAGACAGTTGTAGGCTCAAGCCAGAAAACACTCTTCAATGATTTTATGTGTGGTTAAGAAATGGATTCAACCATCAATCTGTAAAAGTGAAATTTTATTTTGGACAAAACAAAATAAAGTCGATTGCTTGAAAAAAATTTTCAAAAATTAGGACAAAATTGAGATGTTACAAATAATACAAAAAATATTTCATAATGCATATTTACAAAATTATTATCATTTTAATGATAAAAAGAATTTTAATCTATCATCAATTTTGTCAAACATATATAGAAATTTATTAAAACATATATAGAAATTTTAATAAATTTAAACTAAATACTTAATCATTTTTACAAGTTATTTTAAACAAAAACATATATTAACTACATACTACATTTTATACAAATTAATTTTATTGTTCTAAATTCACTTCATTTAATTTTATTAAATGTTTACTTATTATGCAAAATTTAATTTTGATCAGTTACGTTTACTTAATTAACTATATATATATATATATATATATATATATATATATATATATATATATATATATATATATATATATATATATATATATATATATATATATATATATATATATATATATATATATATATATATATATATATATATATATATATATATATATATATATATATATATATATATATATATATATATATATATATATATATATATATATATAATATGCCAACATAGAACCAATTATTTTTATAAAAGCCTATTTTAATAAGCTTTAATTAAAAAATTCTTAAATGCATTTTAATCTGCATGTTACTAAAACACACTTTCATCATATCAAATAAGCATATTGTAGCAAATTTCACAGAGAATTACTATAATACACCCATTTATTTTTACGAATGTGTGCTTTAATAAGTTTTAACTAAAAAATTATTAAATGCACCCTAAGGTGGATGTTGTTAAAATAAGTCTTCATAAAAACAAATGGGTCTACTTTATATATATATATATATATATATATATATATATATATATATATATATATATATATATATATATATATATATATATATATATATATATATATATATATATATATATATATATATATATATATATATATATATATATATATATATATATATATATATATATATATTCATATATATATATATATATATATATATATATATATATATATATATATATATATATATATATATATATATATATATATATATATATATATATATATATAATCATTTGAAGAAATAAAATTTATAACTAAAACTATTATATTTTTAAATTAAAAAAATATTTTAAAGATAAAAAAATGGTTTTAACTAAAACTTATGTTCTTTATATCCTAAAAAAAGTTCTATTTTATATTGTTTCATTCGGATTAAATAATTATTTTGATAAATAAAAATTAAAACTAAAAATATTATGTTTTTGCCTAAAGAAAATTTTATTTTAAACATTAAAAAAGTTATGGTTTATTTACTATACCTATTTATATATGTTTTATTTACCATATATATGTAACAAAAATATTATTTAAACAAACATATATGAAAAGCTATCAAATATAGAAAAAAATATCAACAATTTTTTTTTTACGATACAGCCACAATCCAATAAATGTGAATTAAAAAAACTTAAATACTTATCTTTTATAATGGAGAGGAGAAAATAAATTGAAAAAATATTGATTTTTATGACCATAAAAGAGGAGAGCTTGTGAAAAAGAAAAATATGAAAAAATATCAACAAAAATTATCACTAAATAACCACAACCCAATATATGTGAAAAAAAACTTAAACACATACCTTATACCTTTTATAATGGAGAAGAGAAAATAAATTAAGAAAATATAAATTTTTTATGATGATAATTACAGCTTGTGACGAGAAAGGAGAAAGGGGAAAAGGAAGGAGATAAAATGCAGTGAGTCAGAAGGAGGAGGAAAGTTACTTCTGTTTTTTTAATTTTTATGTAATAATGTAGAGGTAATTGAGATAGCGGTGCATGCTTGTTTAAGTAAGTCATATATTGACTTGGATTTCATGTCACTACTCAAAAGATCTTATAGAATTTAGCGACGTGATTTGACGTCACTACTCAAAAGATCTTATAGGATTTAGCGACACAATTTTTATTAATTTAAATAAATGGATCGAGATTAGAATCGTGAACAAATCACTTTTCTTATAATATTTCAAACACTCTCAAATTGTCTTAGAGTTTTTTCGCAGAAATACGTAGGATAACTCAACCTATACTCGAGTTTGCACAAGACTGGTGAAAACTCGAATATAGGAAGATGAAATCCGGAATTGTGTGAAGAGGATAGTATTTTCTAATGTATTTATCTGAATCCAAAATGCTTAATTTATAGGACAAAGTAGTGTTGTTTCATAAGGTTGCGACTCTTGATGAAACACACACTTTCAACAACACTTTTTCAAAATGTTGCATTGTTTCATCTAGAACAACACTTTTCAAACGTTACACTATTTTGCCTACAACAACACTTTACCGAATGTTGCACTTTTTTGCCTAAAACAACAGTTTTCAAAGGTGGCAATGCCTTGCATTCTACAATAATTTCTATTTTCGAAATCAAAACTATTGCAACACTTCACAGGTGTTGCCTATTTTAGAATTCAAACCTACCGCAAGACTTCACAAGTGTTGCCTATTTCCGAATTTAAAAATTAATCTTCAATTGAATATTTTCTTGTCATTTTGGAACACACTCAAAATTATTAATTGTTAATATATATATATATATATATATATATATATATATATATATATATATATATATATATATATATATATATATATATATATATATATATATATATATATATATATATGTATATATATATGTATATATATGTATATATATATGTATATATATGTATATATATATGTATATATATGTATATATATATATATATATATATATATATATATATATATATATATATATATATATATATATATATATATATATATATATATATATATATATATATATATATATATATATATATATATATATATATATATATATATATATATATATATATATATATATATATATATATATATATATATATATATATATATATATATATATATATATATATATATATATATATATATATATATATATATATATATATATATATATATGATCTGACCTGATCAGAAGGGGATCACGGGCTGGCCACACACTGCTGGGCTGCTACCTGTTCACCGGGGTGAGAAGAAGGAGGGGGGTGTACCTGCAAGACACTCCGATGCCAAAGTAAGAAGTTGGGCAGAGTGGAAGCAATAGTACAGAAAAGGGGCCAGAAGAGTTACCTGACCCTCTTGAGGAAGAGGGTATTTATAGAGAGACCCCAGCGCTGGGCCAACGGTCATTTGAGATGGACTGGACGACCAGGCCCAACCCTAATGACTGCTAGGGCTTACGTGGCATAGTGAAGACCAGGACGTGGTCTTCGCCCTAGTTCAACCGCTCCTAGATCTCCGGAAAGTGGGTTTGACCTGCTCTTTCGGAGGTGGGCAGTTGGCTGGTGACGTGTCCCCGCGGAGGGGAGCACGTGGAGAACGTGCGCCGGGCACGTTGTTCTCCCCGCGGAGGGGAGCTCGCGAGATGCATCGGAGCGCGTTGTTCTCCCCGCGGAGGGGAGGAACCATGGCCGCGCTGTGGTGAGCCGGGGACGGTTCTGCTCGTCTGGCGTGGTGGCTGATGAAAGGTTGTTGGGACGTCGCTTGTGTTCGGCGGCCTGCCCTGCTCGTCTTGAGGGACGCACGTGCCCGGCGTGCTCGATTTGCTTGTTGGGCCGCACGCGGTATTGGGCCTGCCGAGGTTGGGCCCATACCGGAACAGGAGCCCCCCAAGTCGAAGCTCTGGGGAGAGAGCGAGGACTTAAGGTCGCTGCGTCTGGAACGGGCACTCGTGCGAAGATCTCCGGTCGTCGGCAGAGCGGGGAGAAGGCAGGTGAGGGGACGCGACTGTCAGGTTGCCGCCACGTGTCTCGCGTTAAGCGGTCGTAGGGGCGGCTACCCTATGTCATTAATGAGCCTAGGGTCGCTTCGAGTCCCGCGCCGGGTTATAAATATGGGGGTCCCCGCTCATTCTGCTACTTTTCACTCTGCCGTTGTGTCTGCTAAGCTTTGTCATTTCTGCTCGTCCGCCGCTTGCCGCCGATCGCCGCCGCACCGTTTGATCTTTCCTTCCGTCCGCCGCCGTTACAAGTGAGTTTTTCTTTTCCCTTCCTTTTTATTTCCGTCGTTCAATTGGAAGGTGTGGTCGGGGCATGGTGAATGCCCCGAGGAGGGACGCGAGACCCACCGTGTCTGGCGAATTTTCTGATGAGTGTCCCGGGGAGGATAGGCTAG